GAGCACTGCTCAGGCATCCCTTTCAGTCCTTCAAGACAAACCGAATAGCAAAGCTTTAACTTGAGGAAAGGGACTGAACTTTTCTGTGCATATTTGCATATATGCATATGTATAGACAAAGCTGCAGCCATCCAACTCATTAGTAAGAAGATCTTGCAAGTTACTCAAGTGGAAGCCTAACAAATGGAGATAAATAGACCAAAATTTGTTCTTCTTTTCCCTAACAGTTAAAATAGTAGGAATGACTTGTCTAACATATCTTATCATTAATAGTCTCCTGTGGGTCTGGAAGTTTACAGACCATAGGCCAAAAGACAATGGTAAATGGCCTTTTTTCTTCATGACCATCTTTCTTCATGATAGATCAGCCATTCCTAGATTGGGTAGTTTCGGTCCCATGTACTCCAGCAAACACAATAGATGGGATCATGAAGACTTGAACATAAAGTTACATTTTTCCTGTGTTTTATCTTCATTTCCACTAAGCTCCTATTAGCAGAGGTTCCTACCACCCTGGCAGATGCTCCAGCAGCTGGTTAATGGTCTATGAAACATAAATGCACCAGGGACACCGCTCCTCTGAATCCTTTTACTAAGGAAAGAATGTTAATCTACATATTGTAAAAATTGGGCTTTCTCTTTTTGCATTTTAAAAAAGCAGGCCCTCATTTACTTTACAACAATTTGGAGTAGGAATAAATATGAACAGAGACAAATGAGTCCCTTCTGATGCAGGGGCTCTATTATTCCTTTGGGAGGAATGGATGACTTAAGCAAGGCCTCTGGCTAGTCCAGAACTTACTTCTCCTGGAGGGAAACAACTCAATCAATGGTAGTTTCTTGAGCCTGAGCTCACATTCTGACCAGTCTCCCTTTCCTATCTCCATATCCCCTGATTCTCTGCCTACAGGTCTGATTTCCAGGTATAGATGGAGGTGTGGTTGTTATCTCTGCTTCTGTGCAAAAAAATTCCCAGCAATTTGGGTGAAGGGAGTCTTTAAGAACATGAAAACTATTTCAAGTTTTAATTTTTATTTGAGAATGCTTGAGCATAAAAATGTCCTTGAAAAATACTGACTCCTATAAATTTGCAGGCACTGCCAGAGGTTTTTTCATCTAAAATGCTAGTGTTCTTGAACCATTAACTATTGTAGACTCTTATTATTCATTTTCAATAGCTATATTTAAACCACAAAGAGCAACCCTAAGAAGCAGAGGCACAATTGTAGCCAACAACAGAAAACTAAAAGAAATAAAAAAAAAAAAACCCAAAACCAGAATAATTGAGGATTAGCACAGGAATGCTGAGTTTCACCTTTTGTGCCAGGCACCTTGGGTCTCTGATGATCTCCAGGGGTATGAGAAAGGCTTTCTGATTGACCAATGGCTTTAGCCTGAGTGTTGAAGGAAACCTTTTGTCCTCAGGTTGGTGTTTGAAGTCCTGGGTGCTGGGGCTGACACCCAGTCAAAGTACAGCACAGATCAATTGACTGGAAAAAATAAATGAATTAAGTTTAATGAGAGCTCAAGGGAGGAAATGAGCTGCTCCACTTGCCAACTATTTGCACAAGAGAAGCTTGAATGGGACCTGAAAGGATTATCTCCGAACACAGCAGCAAGGGAGTCTCCCACACCGAGAACACTGTATAAATGCCCTGGAGCATGCAACTGCCCTCCCTGGTTCTGGTGTACAGGCTGCTGTAAAACCATGCTGCAGGCAGAGCCAGACAGGTGTATGGGGAGTCTGAGAGTGCCTTGGAGAGGCCTCAAGGGTCTCAGTCAGACTTGCATTTAGAAGGCTGACTCCGGGGGCCATGAGGAGAGTGAGTCTGATCATCAGGGACAGGGAGACTGGCCAGGAGGATCTGGTAGCTGTAGGCACCCTCACAGGCCCTGTGGGTCCTGCACATCCCCTATTTGACAATGTAAGTCTTAGAAATGTTGGGAGACTAGTTTTTTTTCCCCCATTTCTCTGGTTCTTCTATCATGAATGGTGTAGTCAGACCCTGACCCTTCCATTTCTTTTACATAAAGAGCTCTTCAACTATCTAATACAAGGGCTTGGGGGTTGAGTTCAGTTTACTGTGTCTGTTAAATTCTAGTTTCCTCCTCTGTATCAAATATTTAATCTTTCAAAAATTCTACTTTGGAACTACAAGATAGATCAATAGAGTCTATGGTAAGGAGTGCCAGCAAAGACACTTTTTCAAATCATTGCTACTCAGATCTCCTCTGTATCAAATATTTAATCTTTCAAAAATTCTACTTTGGAACTACAAGATCAATAGAGTCTATGGTAAGGAGTGCCAGCAAAGACACTTTTTCAAATCATTGCTACTCAGACTGTCTAAATAGTTTTAGTGCTGGTAAGTTTGTCATTTCTGTATTTTAAAATATTTGCCTTGGCAATTCAGCATCAAAACTTCTGATTAAATTGACATGAATTCTTAATTGGGTACATATCTTTTTACACCTATATCTGACTTTCTAGGTTTTCTACCTGTGTTTGCAAGAGCAAAATAGATACAGTGGTTTTCACCACTGACATAAAGCTAGTGAGGCACCAAATAATTATTAATTTAGGGTTCAGTGGCACCAGTGGGCAACCACAGAAATCTGTCTTTATCAGTGATGTGCTCAAATCCAGTTCTCTACACTGGTTCTTAGGGAAGTATTTCTTTTCTCCTTAGTACAAAGCACTGAGAAGCCCTTCTCTTCCCAGCATACAGGCTTTTGGAGCTCAGTGCTGCTCCAGATGCCAGTGAATCTAGCACCATTTGAGAGGACATCCACCAAGGTTCCAAGAAGAGAGGGTGTCCTGCATGGCAAGGACATGGGATGGCTCCACAGCTGTTCAGTGGTGCTCAGCCAGGGAAAGGGAAAGGTTTGCTCCTGACTATTTCCATTCCCTGCCCTCCTGCCACATTTGTGAGCTCTCTTTTTTTGAGCTTTAATTTTCCATGAGTAGTAAATAGCCAAAAGCAGCTCAAAATATTCTCCTTACCACTAGAATTGGTATTTTTACTAGCTATAAAGCCTTAGCCAGAAGGGCTAGGGCAGATTTTCAGCCCTCCCACAGCCTTTTAAAGAAGATTGGGTATAAGGGGTAGGGGCCTATTTGCAGGAGCCCTGAATCATAGGGATGATCTGGAATTCTGGAGCATGGATTCTGTCAGTGAGAGAAAGCAGCCCTACTTGGGGCCAGAGGTTGCAGGCCTCTGGATACCACCAGCCCTTCCAAACAATGTGGAAAGGCCAAGGCCTTTGTGGCCTTGTGAGCTAACTGTATTCTGTAGGTTTAGCTCTTTATCATACGAATGGGTGTGCTTGAATTTCTAATAAAGAAGAACCACATGGATAATGTTGGATCAGGATTCTCAAACTTTAAAGTGCTGAATCACTGGTGAATCTCTCAGTAAAGTGCAGAGCCTGACTCAGTACTAGTTGGGACATCTAGACCTGCTTCTCTGATGAGCTGTTAGGGTGAAAAGGAAGCTGCACGGACTATACCTCAATCCACAAGGCCCTGACCGATGTTTCTTAGCTTGCGCTACAGATAAGCATATCTGGGGGGCTTTCGAAAATCTTGATGACTGACTGCGCCCCCCACACCAATGAAATCAGAATACTGAGAGCAAGACCAAGATACCAGTAGCTGAGGATGCTCCCGCACATAATCTCTGCCCAGGTTGAATTTGTATGAGAAGCCTAATTGGTACTTGTTCCTCCCCCTTTGGAAATCAACTGAGGGTTTGTTGCAACTGTCACGATCTATCCTTTAACTGTGTGAATGAATTAAAATGAGCAGCTACCTTTAGTTTATCTAGCCCCAAAGTTTCCAAGGACTGATCCACCAGGGTCTGTACACTTGTGTGTACCAGCCAGAGTCTGAGCTGAAGCCCTCACAATGTTCTTTTTATTCTCCATCCACTAGCAGCTCTGTTCTTAACTGCTCCAAATTCTTCTTGGCAGGCTGACTGGGGCTGTGAGGAGTCTAGATGAGAATAAAACCATAAATTTAACATTGCTAAAGGGCAGGGATTTGCAAGCCTGCTGCATATTGGATTGGATTCAATAAGTTAGGGTGGTTTTAAAACCTCCCTAGGTGGGCCATGGACTTAACTCTGTGGTTCCGCCGCCTGTTTGCCCTGCAAGCACAAGCTTCTGAGTTCAACGCCCATATCAAAAATAAAATAAAATAAAAGCTCCCTGGGTGCTTCTAACCTGAGATGAGGGAGGAGAAGAATGAAATATTAAAGAATATTTATATTTGCCTCAGTATTTTTTAAAAAGCTGGTCAGATGATAAAATGTAAATGTGATTTTTAAATATGCATTTAATGATTTTTATTAGTTTTAAAATATATATTCTCCACCCAGTCCCACACTTGCTGTTTCTGAGGAGGCTAATGTCAGAAGAGACTCCTGAGCCCTATTTGCAGTGTATCAGCCTGGAAGGAAAATTACCTGGAGCACTGCCTTAATTAGGGTACAGTTGGCCACTAAAACAAATAAAACCCAAACCTTCAGGGGCTTGACACAGTGGGAAGTTGGCAGGCAGGTAACCAGGTTAAAGTGGCAATTCTCTTCCGTCCTTCCAGGGTCCCCAGCTGGGGCTCCTGAGATGGCTCCTGCAGTTTTCTGTGCCAATGCAAGGGAGGGAAGGAAGCAGGTGGAGCTTCATGGAGTCCTCCCCAACTGGACATGGCCACATGTGTTCACAGGCCAGTGGTCACGTGTGCCCTGGACTCCTTTGGATATGGCTGCAGCCCCGCATGGCCCTGCAGTTGCACAAAGACAGCCCAGAACCCTGGTTGGCAGTGGGAGTGTAGGACGTATGCACACAGGACGTCAAGGGTCAGGTGGGCTCCCAGACAGTTGTGGCAGCTGCACTAGGAGTGCAAACTCCAGGCAGGCCTTGCCCATGGGGATGGCTGTGGGGCCACAGAGCTGAAGTCATGATCTGTAGGGTGCATGCTCTCTTTCTCCTTTTCTCCCCAGATATTGCAAATGGCACCAGTTCAGGGGGGTACCGCCCGCCTCCCAGAACCAAAGAAGTTATCATCAATGGCCAGACTGTGAAACTTAAGTACTGTTTCACCTGCAAGATTTTCCGACCCCCTCGCGCCTCCCACTGCAGCCTGTGCGATAACTGCGTAGGTGAGTAGGGCCTCAGCACTGGCGGGAGGGTAGTGGATTTGCTCTGGATAAGCTTTGTGCTATGGAATCAGTGTACTGCTCTTTAATCCTACTGTCTGAAAGACTCAGCAATGGTTAATGTTTCTACACATTTGCCTGTTGCTATTGATCCCCTCACCAGGCCCAGAGTTACCATCTCTCTTCTATTTTTTGGTTTTTACATCCTGCAATGTGCTAGGCCTTCTCCCTCAGAGCACAAACCAGGGTGAAGGGACTTTTATATAGGGGGTGCCAGATCAGGAGCCATGTAAAATAAAACTATACCTCTAGGTCTCCAGGCATAGCTGTTCTTGACTCCTCAGAGGGATCTTGGTGGACTTCGAGGCATCAGATCCAAAAGAGAGAAAAAGAGGCAAAGGCAGAAAACTGCTTCTTCTAGGGGCTAGAATTAGAATCTTTGTTCTTCCCAGAGACCACCAGGACCTCTGCTCTCTGCTAGCTTTCTCCAGGTCAGAGGGAAAATAGACAGAGAGGAGACAGAGCCCTGAAGTCCTCAGTAGTAAATCTTGGTCTTACTGTTGAACCACATAGGACTTCTCCAACCAACGTGAGTCTCAGACATGCCTGAGTAAGTCAGCAACTGCTTCCTGTTCCTTATACTGAGAGTCACAGCCCACATCTACAGGCCATTGTCCTCCCCAGGCTGGAGATCCTTGGATGGCTTCTAGTAGAAGTGACCGAGGATATTCCTAGCTAAATAAGCATGAAATCCTCTGCTAGCCCAGACCTTAAGGGTCAGGAATACAGCTTAGAACAAACCCAGGTTCCCTTAGGACCACCTTATAGATTTCCAACTCTTTCTTGAGTGTGAGAAATTGAAGCTTCCATTCTTCTTGAGAAAAATAAAATTTTATAATGTACTCCTTGATCTGCCAAGTGGACTTTGATTTGCCTTAAATTACTTTAGTCTAACCTTAATAATCCACAATTTTGTACAAAGGCCATGCTTTCCCTAAAAGGTTTTTTTTCTTGGTTTCGTTAATTTAAATTGCTTTTAGTTTTTGCCTCCCTGGTGGAACAGCATGGAATTGTATTCCATCTTCCCCATATAGTAAAGTAAGGCTCCTCCAATGAAAAGCCTGAGATGTGGTATTGCATGGCCTAGATCCCAAATACTCACTGTGTGATTTAGAAAAGCTACTTAAACTCTCTGTGTCTCAGTGTTCTCATCTCTACTGTGGGGTTGGTAACAATGCCTACTAAAGACTACAGAAGTAAATACATGAAAAGCACTGAAAATAATGTCTGGTTTTTAGCAAATGATCCCTAATTGTTAGCTACTACTACTGTTATTATGCCTGCTACCCTGATGTCCGTGAGCGGCTTTCTCTGGAAAATTCCTTTATATACTGTACCCCTCTGCAGTGTGGGGAGCAAAGCTATAGCTCGTCCTCCATCGAGCTATATCCGGGACTAGATTTCTGCAGTCTTCGTTTCAGTTGACACCCTTCATGGCAACTCCAGCCTCTGTAACCAAACCATACCCAAAGCCAAAGAAGCACAGTGGTTTAAATATCTTCTGAGGAACAATCTGTAGGAATTCTCAAAGCCCTTTCCTGGGTTTTCATTTTGAGCACCAGGGCTAATACCTGGTAGACTAGTACACTTACAGAAATTCATCTGTTACTTTGCATACTCACTTCTGTGGACCTAGTGGTATATTCCGGTCTGTATTTTGATAAATGGGAGGTTGTTATCTATTAGCCTGAAGTGTTTACTGAGCACTCCTTTTTTATCATTTATAAAAAAACTTTATCCACTTCTATACAGCCCTGTTTCCACTTATTCATTTTCATTAGTTGATCTCAATCCTCTGTTTCCTGTCTCTAGGCTAGATTTCCAATCGTAATACAAAAAAACCTTTCCTTCCCATATTATAGTGCCTTATTGTTTAAAAATTCCCTTTGGATTATTGTCAGATGGTTTCCGAAAGTTCACACAATTACTCACAATTTCTTCCCACCGTCACCCATGCATATATGTCCTTTAAAGAACTCTAATGAATTGAATGTAAGATCTCCGTACCAGAACTGTACACACTTGCTCCACTTGCTGGTGGGCCCCTGCCATAGCAAACCTGTTCAAAGTGGTGTCCTCACATATAAAACCTAACAGCCGTAAGTCTAGAATATCCAGGAGTCAGCTGAGGACCCTTTGGAGAAATGAGTCACAAGGGCAATCTAGCATTCCTCGCACAAGCATATAGCTATCTCATAAACTGGAGTTCTTGGACAGCAAAAAGAAAGAAAAGGAGAGGAGGTGGCAAACTCTAGGTTGGGATCAAGAGGACAAAGTTGATCAAGAAGCACACTGACAATGTAGCCCTCTAAGTGTTGGTCCACAGTCCTGGGGATGGAGCTTGGCTAATCCCGATCAGGGCCTAGCTCCAAGCAAGGACAGGTAAGATGAGTAACATACAGTTGGTTTACAGTAAAGCTGCTCATAGACTCCTAAAACCCCACACACAATTATTCAGACCTACATAGCTTTGGTTTTCCAGTTAATTACATCACACTCGGGCCTCTGGCATGACGGATGAGCAGGCCAGAAGATTGGACTTCTGCAATGAGGAAAACAGAGTAGAAAGCAGATGTCTCCCACGGAGAAGTGTAATTGCAGAGTTTGCCACTAGTTTATTTTTAGATAAAGTTTTTACTGAAAGACTGCTACTTTTTGCAGCAAGGGAAAAGTACAATTATATGCTAAAAGCCAACGTTAGAATATGTGATTTCCCTTCCCTGTAGAAATGGCTTTGGGTTAGCACATCCCAGGCACAGTACACAAAGGTTGCTTTGCCTAAGGAGCGGAGAGAAAAATGCAGTTTCATAAGTAGCTTGGAAGAATATTTTTCTTTGTTAAATAAGTTTGAAATGAGAGAGCCTAGTCACAGGGCCTCTGTGTTTTTGTTTTGTTTTTGAGGAAGGAACTTTCTTGGAGAGGAAATGCTGGTGCAAATATAGAACAAGTTGGCAGAGCCTCTGATCCTGTCATTAAATAATCCCAGAACCTGCACTTAACCTGAACATTTCCAACTGTTTCTACCTCTGTAATATGGGGTGGTCCTAGTTCTACCTCATAGGTTTCTTTTAAGGATTAAGTGACACTGTGCCCAACCTAGCACCTAATGCAGGCATGGGGAACTATATTAGTCACTCCCATCATTGGGATGAACTACTGGACACCTGCAACTTTGATTCATAGTAAAAGAGGGTTCAGTCCATGGTTGGCTGGCTGTAATCAGAAAGGGCATGGAGGAAGGGCACAGCAAGGAAAGTTGCTCAGCCTATAGCAGCCAGGAAGCAGAGGGAGAAAGGAGGAGCCAAGGACAAGAATGTACCATTCCAGGTCAGGCCTTGTGACCCTCCTCTGTGACCATGCCCCAACTTTATAACAGAACATTCAACTATGAATTCATTGGTGGATTAACTCTCCAATAAGTATAGCCCTCCAAGATTTAATTACCTTTAAATGTGTCTCTGAGCACATGAGACTTTGGGGGGAAATTTTAGATCTAATATATCATCTAAACAGTAAGGGATCAATAAGTGTATGCCCTTAATGTTTTTCTCATCAGTAAATGATGGAAATGCCATTATTAGTGCTTCAAATGACTGATTAAAATAAGATAATCCTCACAGAAGCATAGAAATTACCTATTTTTGTGGTAGGATTTAGATGATCTGCAGTAACGGAAGTGGGTTCTATTCTCTCTGTCTCTCTGACTTGGTCTCCATTTAGCTTTGTTTCTATTCTCTTTTTCTGAATCCTGTGTGTCTCTACCTCTCTCTCCTAGTGCTGCCATCAGATCGCTTCTACATATTTGGAACAGCACTTGGGATTGTTTGTTCTCCAGGCAGGCTTATACTTTTAAACGACCAGCAGCTGGGACCAGGAACCACTCTGCTGTCTCATAGTCTCATCTCCTTAGCGTGAGGGCGACCCAAGGAGCTGAAAGCAAAACATTGGTTTCATGAGGCCCTCTCAAACTCTACACAAACATCCTTGACCAGATGGGCCCTGGGGGTCAGTCTGTCCCTCGGTGGGCCCCGGTCCAGTGTCAGAATGGCCAGCAGTTTTCACTGGAATTGTTTTGTTTGTTTTCTTACATTGTTTTGGTTTTTCTCGTGGTTTGAGGGCTTGAACCCAAGGCTTTCAAACTGAGCTATATTCCCATCTCTTTTTTATTTTGAGAGAGGGTATCATTAAGTCACTAAAGTTGTCCAGACTGGGCTCAAACTTGATCCTCCTGCCTCCCACAGTGCAGGTATTAGAGTTGTATGCCGTCACTTCTAGCTTGGAATTGGTATTTTTAATATAATTTAGACCTATATTACAGTGGCTTACTTAAATTAATTTAATCAATACTGTGGACAAGTTATTTAGAAAGTTTTCTGAACACAAATGTGAAACATTGTAAGCATTTGCAAATCAACTATAAGAGTCTTGTCTATATTTGATGAAACAGAAACAGCTTCTCCTAGAGGCTAAAAGGGGGTCTCTGGAGGCCACAGCTGCCTGTCCTTTCTGGACCTGGGGACTCTCCCACACCTGCAGTGCCACATCTGGAGGGGTTTCAAGGACAAAGAAGGTAGCACATGAAGCCCTCAGGTTGTGTTGCACCCAGGGATCCCTGAGCAGTGCCCAGCCGCTCCAGCCTCCCTCACCCAGGGTGAGCCCTGATCCTATTGTCTTCTAGTCCGTGTGGTGAGAGCCTCCAGAATCCTCTGCAGAGATTCAATGTCCAATCACTGCTGGTTTTAGTGCAGCTTTACCACCCTTTTAAAAATCCCTATGAGTCCTCTCCTTACCATCTTGTTCTTTCTGGCTGTACTTTCTCTCCCCGACATTCAACTATGTTTACTGTGTTCTCTCTTGTGTCCCTCAGTGTCCCCTCCCACTGCTCCTCTGTGACTTGAGTGTCTGAGCTTGGACTGCGGACTCATGGTGTTTTGTGTTCTGCT